GATGGAGGTTTGGATGTTATTATGTGCTTAGGATGTTTCTACAGTTACCATAAATCGCTGGTTTGTTGGTTTCCAGGACTCTACTACTGAGCTGGGGCAAGGCAGATGAGATCAGGGCAAATGCAAACACTGCGGAGCACTTGTTCTTACTGAGAGGGAGCCACTGTTTGGAGTTTGCTCCTTGGGTTCTTGCATGATTTCGGTTAATTTTCATACTTTGGCAAGTTAGTCTGGGCATATTTTGTTAATTTTATCTTTCCTGGGGGAGCAGCTTTATTTTGGCAGGTCTGCCTTTTACCATTCTGGAAGTTGGCCTGCATTCTCTATGTGACCTGCTTGTGGAGAATTTTCTTTTGCAGGGCTTTCCCAAGTGGTGCTGTGGAGTCCTAAGGGCCCGTTCGGCTTGGTTGCATACAAAACATGTGCCTTCCTGCTAGCCTGTTTCTCTGGTCCAGAATTTTCTTCTTAGGTATATAAAATACACATGGAAGCCTCTTACTTTCTTCTCTTCCTGTTCTTACACTCCCTTTTTGATAAGGCAGCTACGTTGGATAATTTGCCACCTTTCCTCCATCTGTAGCCTGTGAGTATCCTCGGGAACTCTTAAAAACAACTGAAGAGCAACTTAAAATGAAGTTCTAAGGTTAAATGCAATTTATCCTTGTATTTTATAATCGTTAAAAAGTCGTTTTTTAAAATTAATGTTAGGTTAATGGTCTGGAGCAATAGCACAGTGGGTAGGGCCTTGTATGCAGCCGACCCGGATTCGATTCCTCCGCCCCTCTTGGAAAGCCCGCCAAGCTATTGAGAGTATCTCGCCCACACTGCAAAGCCTAGTAAGCTACCCGTGACATATTCGGTATGCCCAAAACAGTAACAACAAATCTCACAATTTGTTGTGAGATGTTCATGGTGCCTACTCGAGCAAATCGATGAAAAATGGGAGGACAGTGCTGCAGTGCTAGGAAATTAGAAAAAATAACTTCCTAATCTAACACTAATTGCTGATGAGTTGATAGAAATAACACCCTAATTATTCAATATTGATTCCTTGCCCAAAAGTCATATTAAAAGGTAGCTTTTTCCAAATGATTGGCCCAAGGTTTCCTAGAATAGTCAGGTACCTCGATAGGACTGTTAACTGTTCCTTCTTAGTGGGTTTTTTTGTTTTGTTCATTTAAAAAGGTTATGATAGAAGTACTGATTTAAAACAGTAAATTTTCAAACTTTCATCTCCATACCCCATTTGTGAATTTTGCTGTTTATTTTGATACGATATATCCTACTATGGTGTTGCAGTTTCTGCTACCCACCTATAGCAATATTCTCCAGACTCTTGTGTGTATGACGTGTATCTGTAGGGTGTGTTTGCCGGCTTCTGGCCCAGGAGTTGCATATTCCGAAGGTCTACATGGTGACCAGTTTTTGTAGTTTCAGATATTTCTGGGTGATGGTAATCCTGCTGCTGCTGATTCAAGGACCACACTTCGAGGACATTGACTTTGTTATTATTTACTTAATACTTTTTTCAGATAGGTGTTGTTATTGTCTAAAGGCAAGACCTAGAGAAAGAGAGAGAAGAGAGGTACCTGGCAAAGAGGGAGGCTCGGGTGAGGGTGGAGGGGGGGTGGACTGGAGACACTTGTGCTGGGAAATCACACTGGTGGAAGGATGGGTGTTGGAACATTGTATGACTGAAGCACAATCAAGAACAATTGTGTAATGCTCTGTGTCACAGTGACTCAAAATAAAAATTTTAAAAAATAAAATAAGGAGAGCCCTTGATTAAATAGGTAAAATAGGTAAAAATTGTTCTCCGTGAAGTGGTGGTATCTGGTGATTGCTTTTACTAAACATTTTCACCAGGAATAAAGTAAACTGAGGCAAAGGTTACTTTATTGAAAGACTTAGAACTAACATTAAACTAAGTTCTTTTGTTCTTTTAAAGGAACGATTCCCCCCACCCCCTACAAAAATGGGAAAGGACATTTAGTTGCTTACTATTTGTTGGCTTGCAAAGTCATCTTGCATAGTGCCAGTGTTGTGTGTGGACTACTTAGGAAATCTTGCGTTATAATATAATTAAGTCCTTTCACTTGTTATTGTCATCTTAGAATTTTGGGGTGGATGAGGGGTGTGGGTCAAACCTACTGTTGCTTGAGGCTATGCCCAGTCCTCTGCTTGGGGGTGCTTCCAGTGGGGATTGCAGGGGGGGACCGTGTGGTGCTGGGATCTTAGAATGCTCTTATGTTGTCAAATAAATATAGGATTTTGTGGTTTGACTAACAGAAGGAAACTTATAGAATAATTATCAAAGGATAAAACCTGTAGTTTATAGTTGCTTACATAGTTTATCCTAAGGAAGTTTTTTTTTTTTTTTTTTTTTTTTTTTTACTGTAGCTCTATTTTAATAGTACTAAGTTTAAAGGCTTTCCTGCTTTTCTTCTGGCGTCTATTCTAAGCAATGGAGCTTTTTTCTTTTCTCATTTCAAAATGTCGCCATTGTAACAGTCATGGGCCCAGAAATAGACAAATACATAGTGTTAGTAACATCTCAACCTATCACATGAGACAGATTTTTGTTGAAATTATGAATGTCTCATTTCTTGGAAATCTTTTTTTATGAGTAGCAGCATTAGTGACTATTGAGTCAGATTTAATTTAAATGGTAGCATGGTCATGAATAGCATTTTGAAATTGAGTTCAACTTCCTGTACTGGACTAGTAGTCCCTACAAGACAGAACTTCCGAACTTCGTTTTTTCAACAGTTAGCAGATTGCTTGGGCTGTTGGGACAACTTTAAGCAAGATAATAAGATAATAGAGAAATGACCACCAGTTCCGAACTTGAACTTGAGTGCCTTTGCTCTTTTAAAAAGAATAGCAGAGCCCAGAGAGCTGGGTCAATGGACTGGGCACAGACTTTGCATGTCCAGATTTGATCCTCACCTCTACATAGTTCCCTGAGCACTGCTGGGGAGCGATGCACAAGCATGGATTTAGGAATAGCCCCCTCTCCCCCTACACCGTTGGGTGTGGCCCCCAAACCAAAATGGCTTTAGTTTTCTGTTGCGGCATAGGAAATCCTGCTCAATCCAAGAGCCTGGCACTAAAACATTTCTCGTGAAAAATTGTTTATAAGAATTGCTGGTTCTAGATGGTGGGTATATTGTTTTAACAAATAAGAATCTGCTTTAACCAAAGTGATAGTACCCTTTTATACTTCCGCTCAGATTTTAAGAGTTATGTCATTTAAGCATATTGTATTCTAAGTTGTAGATTTTGGGTGGGGCCATAACTTGTGGTGCTTAGAACTTATTCTTGGCAGTGCTCCAGGGACTAATGCCGAGAGAAGGATGGTGCTGGGGTGGGCTGCAATGCATGGCAAGTGCCTTACCCACTGTACTATCTCTCTGGCCCCATGTACTAAACAGGGTTTTTTGTTTTTTTTTTTTAATTAGTCATGCTTCTAGGCATAGAATAGTTTCCCAGGGTGGTTTTAATTTGTGTATTTTGCTGTCTAAAAATGTTAAATATTTTATTTGTTTTTGGGCCATACCCAACTTTGCTGGAGCGATAGCACAGCGGTAGGGCATTCGCCTTACAAGCGGCCAACATGGCCGACCCGAGTTCGATTCCTCCGCCCCTCTCAGAGAGCCCGGCAAGCTACCGAGAGTATTCGATATGCCAGACACAGTAACAACAAAGTCTCCAATGGAGACGTTACTGGGCCCGCTCGAGCAAATCGACGATCAACGGGAGGGCCTTTACCTTTACCTTCACCCAACTTTGCTCAGGGCATACTCCTGGCTCTGTGCTCAGGGATAACCCCTGGCAGTGCTGGGGTGCTGGATAGGCCATATATGGTGTTGGGAAATAAACTAAGGCCGGCCAGGTGTAAGGCTAAAGCCCTATCTGCTATACAGTCTCTCTGCCCCCCCAAAAATGTTCAATATCTTTTTATATGCTTATTGGTGATTTGTATGTCTTTGATTTGATGAAAAATGTATTGAGGTGTATTTTATTTAATTCTCTTTTTATATTCTGTCTGTAAGTCTTATGTTCTAAATATGAATATTTTCTCTGATTCTGTGGTATTCTGCATGTTTTGGCATCATATTTCTGTGTTAAACTATTTTTTATAATGCTTTATATTCATTTCTTGCTTACACCTCAGTGCAATGATGCTTTCACAGATTAGGAAACAAAGAAAGTTTGTGAATCCAGTGAACAAATTACATTGCAAATTACATTGAACTTCAGATCTTCATTTATGTTTATAGCTGTATTTCTGTAGAAATACGAAAATGAGCAAATATTTGTAGTTACCCAAAAAGGGGGGGCTTCATCTTATTTCTTCAGATTGTCAGGTTTTTAAAAATTTATTTATTTTATTTTTATAAAGTAGTTCACAATATTTGAATACATTTAATATTAAGACACCAATGCCATCACCATTACACCTTCCCACCACCATATTTTGGATGTTTTCATCCTGAACCTCAACCCCTGTCCTAAAGCAGAACCGAAATAATTGATTTTGTATTGTTTGTTATGAATAAATGCTGAAAATTCTCCAAAAAACTTTTGTTAAGCCTTGTGTGTATGTGTATATATTTATATGTATGTGTGTGTGTGTGTGTGTGTGTTGATTTTCAGTTATTTTTAGGTGGTAGGATAGATATGATCTGGTTGGTAGGCCAACATAGTTTTTTAAAATGTTCTTCACTGTTGACTAGCAAGAGCCATAGCAGAAACTAGCTAGCCAGAAGTCTCTTCTGTTTGAATTGTTGTTTAGAACATCAGTAGAAGGTACAGATTATTTGAACTTTTTTTGAGAATAAGTGTTATTTTTCTTACAATTCTTTTCAAATTCTTTTCAGATGTAAAGCTTTTTTTTTTTTTTAAATTAAGTCTCCTTAGATAGGTTTTGTTGTTTACAACAGTTTTTAAAAGTTGCTTTGAAGTTTTCTAACACATACAATGTCTTTTCTTCTAAGGTTGAAAAATGAAAAGGCATTACGTCTTAGTCTCATTGGTAAGTAGCTTACTTGAAATTCTGGTGAGAATGTGCTTTTCTGTCCTATGCCTATGGTTTTTACTTTCTTTTTTTTTTTTTTTTGGCGGGCTGGGATGGGAGGAGGGATCGTCTAGTGAAGTACTGTTTTATTTAAGTGAATTTTCTTCCTTTTTTTTTTTTTTAGTTAAAAATTATTTTTAGGAGCTGGAGCGATAGCACAGCGGGTAGGGTATTTGCCTTGCATGCAGCCAACCCGGGTTCAATCCCTAGCATCCCATATGGTCCCCCGACCACTACCAGGAGTGATTCCTGAGTGCAAAACCAGGAGTAATCCCTGAGCATCGCCGGGTGTGACCCAAAAAGAAAAAAAATAAATAAATAAAGGTAAAGGTAAAGGCCCTCCCATTGATCGTCGATTTGCTCGAGCGGGCCCAGTAAATAAAAAATAGTAATAATAGTAATAATTTTAGGGACCAAAGAGATCATAGAGTGTGTAAGCTCACACAAAGTGGGGGGCACGGCACTCACACACTGGCGGTGGCTTTATCTCTCCTGCCGCCCGCGTTCGGTAGTCTCACCCTTCTCCCACCCCGGAGAGGTCGATGGCGATGGTCAGGCGGAGGAAGGAACGAGGGCCAGGCTGGTAGGTATTAGTCATAGTTTATTCAGATTCTCTCCTCATCTGTCTCTCCTCCTTCCATCTCTCTGCTCCCGTCTCTCTCTGTCTCTCCTCCTCTCTGCTCCCCATTCTTCCTCCCCCGGCTACTTCATTCTCCTTCTCCATCCTTCATCCTCCTCTTCCTTCTCATCCTCTCTCTGACCTCTGCTTCTTCCTTCTGCCCCCAGCCCACTCCTACAGTACAGTTAAATCCTCTCTCCATGAGGAATTGGGGGAACAATTACACATAGGTGCGGTCACAATCAATAGGGGTAGAAATTAATAGGGGTAGAAATCTTAGCCTCAGGGAAGACCGCTCCTAGGACAGATCCTTCCTCAGCAGGAGGACCCACCCTAGAGCATAATCCCATGGGCGTGCCTCTCCTCTCCTTGTCCGACAAGCATATAAGAATATAATATAAATCATTTTGTATGGATACAGTAAAAAATATCTTAAACTTATAGAATTGCTTTCCTAGGGCCATCTCGATCTCAGACTACGGTGCTCAGGCCAGATAGTCTTTCCCACCCCTAGCAGGATCCTAGTCTTGTTGTTACCTTTGGATCATGACAGCATTTGTCTATGATCAAACTCTTAACTTATAGTTAAGAATCGTGGCACTTTGGCCTGGCCCATTTCGCTGCCAGGGTAGCTCACCGCTTGCCCTGGGTCCATTCAGTCCCTCGTCGGGACCCTGCTTTGGGATGTTAGGAACTAAGGGCAACTGAGGCTTAAGTCGAGAAAGCAGATGCCCGGGAGTGAATAATATTCAAGGCCAATCAAATCCTAAATTACAAAGCATAATGTTAACGGTCTTCCTGTATCTATACAAAAAGGATATTACTTTAAGGTAAACTATTCATAAGGCATAAGGAGAGGAGAAAGGCAATATTTCACTCATACATATAAAATCATAGATTTCTGGGAAACCGATCTTACAAATTAACAAAGTCTGATTAAGGGGAAAGCTGATTAACTGGGTGGGGAGGAGAGCATAGGGAAGACTGTTTACAGATAAACACAATGCAGTGGAAGTGCCTCGGGAGCACTGTGATAAGTGTAACCAGATTGATGGGTGTAACCAGATAAACCTAAGCTTCTTGTAGAAGGACAAAGCAATGTTACCCAACAATAGAGTGGGTAATACCATTGTTTTGTGTGTTGACTCGTGCAGATTCCATTCCTGGCACCTACCACGGTCCTCCAAACACTGCTGGGAGTGACCCCTAAGCACAGATCTGTGAGTAGCCTAGCCCTTGAGCACTGCTGGGTGTGACCCCAAGACCAAAAATAATGAATATTTTTAATCTCAGCGTCAGGATTTACAATACTGTTAATGGTAGAGTTTCATGCAGACAGTGTTCCAGCATCACGCCAGTGTACCCCTCCTCAGCCTCACCGCTCAAATGAATTTATTTTACTAGATCGATTAAAGCAAAATAAAATCAGTCATTAAAGCAAAATAAAATCATTTTTAAGAGCTGTGTTAGTATCTCATTTTTCCGAACTGCTTCATTCATTCATTCATCATCCTGTTATTCGTCGATTGCCTCGAGCAGGCCCCAGTAACGTCTCTTTCATCCTAGCCCTGAGATTATATTCAAGGCTCTTTAGGAGAATAAGACCCATCATTGTTACTGGTATTTGGCATATTTGGTATGCCACGGAGAGTTTGCCAGACTCTGCCCTGTGGGCAGGCTACATTCGAGAGCCTGCAAGTTTGTCCAAAGTAGGAATGAGATAATAAGATGTCATAAAAAGATGTCCTGATAAGATGTCGAGCGGCCGCAAATGCTTATGTTTAATATGTTAATTAAAACATATGCAACATTATTCTCTGAAGTTTGAATTTTACTTCTCTAAACAGTAGAGTTATTATAGATGATTATGGCCTCAGTCTTTGGAAATTAGCGACTCACATTAAATGATATGGATACTTTCATCCTCTCACTGAATATTAGTGTGGTGGTGTTTTTATTTTTGTCAATTTTGTTTCAGTAAATACTGAAAAATCTGAGATTTCAAAATCGTAAATAGACTATGACAAAATTAAAAGGATTTAAACCCTATCAAATGCATCATTAAGTAATGCACAGTATTTTTAAGCAGGTTAACAGTATTTTGATGAGTCTAATTTGTGGTATACAATATTGAAAAATAAGAGAAAGTGCTAATACTCAGTGAAAGTGGTTAGAATTCTTCATATATAGATGAAGTTTGTTTGCCTTTTCCATATTGAATTTCAGCACTCCTTCATATGTTGGAGAGCTTGTATTCATTACAGAGTTTGAGGTCCTAGAGAAGTGAGTCACTTCTCTCATATGTAAATGATGATATTAATGGTACCAATAGTACTAGTCTCATGAGGGGATCCCAGCAAATAGTGCTCCTATCATTAATCTAATCAAATTTTCATTTTATTGTCTTGAATAACACTTTTTTGGGGGGGAGGGGGAGCACACCCGATGATGCTCAGGGGTCACTCCTGTGTCTGTGCTCAGGAATCACTTCTGAGCTTGTGGGACTTAACTATATGTGATGTAGGGATGGGACCTGGGTTGACCTTGTGCAGGATTGGCGCCCTGCCCACTGTGCTCTCTCTTCGTCTCCTTGAATAAATTTTTGAGGGAGCACTGGTGGTGTTCAGAGGTGCTCCTGGCTAAAAGCTACCATGGGACTCCCAATTGTGAGGTGTGGGCGGCTCCAGCACTCTAACTCACCTCTCCAGTTCTATTTTAGAGAAGTTTTCTCTGTTCTCTTGCTTTTTTAAATTCTTAGAACTTGTTCTATTAAAGAGTTATTTCAAAAACAAAAACACCAAACCTTTGCCTCCGTATTAGTTAAGACATATGTCCAGAAAAGCACCCCCTCCCCCCATCTTCCCCAAATTAAAGTGTGACAGTGTAACTTCTGATAGACTGGCCTAATAAGGTTTGTGCTTACACAGGCTTTAAATTTAACATTGAAATAAATTTTGATACCGTTTTAAACACACAGTGTTAAAACTTAGGATGAATACCGCTTCGCCTAAATTTTTAGTGTTTAAATTCATTTGGTGTTTGTTGTTGTAGGTGAAAAACTTCAGTGGTTTCAAAATCATCTGGATCCTCACAAAGCAGGCTATTCAAAGAAAGATGCATGTGAATTAATTGAAAGGTAAAACACTGGGTGTGTTAGGAGCCAAGGGTCGGAGTAAAGTTCCGGTTCAAGAGTTAGTGTTGTGTTCTGATTTTATAGAAGAGAAAAATGTGCTTGGCTCTCCAAAGGACTTCGCGTTTATGATATAGCCAAGTCACTTTAGGGGGTTCATAACCTTTGTGTGCCCAAGAGTGGCTGTGAATCTAGTTTCTTGGAATACAGAAAGACTTCCTGGAGAAATCTCATTAAAGCTGACACCAGAAGCATAGAAGAAGCAGATGGAGAAAGATGTTTTGAAGAGCCTCTAGACAGAGAGTAATATCGAAAAGGTCCAGAGGTGAGAGCAGCATATTATCTGCCAGAGACTTATTGGGTGGTGTGTATAGGGAAGCGCAGAGCAGTGCTCAGCCCACTCCCTGGCAGTGCTGGGAGTTGAAGCAGAGTCGGCCACAGGCAAAGCAAGTGCCATAACCCTGAATTATCTCCCTTCTCTGCGCCAGACGTCTATATGCCCAGAACAACAGAGTAAAGAAGGGAATTGTTGCAGGTCAGTTAAGGAACAGCCAGTTTATAAAAAAAAAAAAGAAGAAGAAGAAGAAGAAGAAAAATTACTGCAGCTGTCAGGTTGAGTTTGGATGTTATCCAGGGCCATTGGGAGCCATCAGAGTCTTTTATAGCTAGCACTGTGGGAGATCATACTTGTATCTTTCTAAGGTTATATTAGTGGGGATGAGAAGAGTGAACAGAGCATGGCTTTGACCGAGAGAGTATTTTGAGAAGGTGATGAACCAGTCAGGCAGGAAATGATGATAGCTTCTTCGTGGTTGGTACCAGTGTCTGGAGAGAAGGGACAAACGTCAGAGATACTAAGAATATATCTTTCATGAAAACTTAAACTTGGCGTACAAGGGAGAGAAAAGACAAGGAAGCGTTTCTATTCCTCACTTGGGCAGCTGCATGAAAAGTCATGTTATTTCCTGTGCCGGGGAGCCAAAGAGATGGAGTGGGTTGAGTGGGAGGTGGGTAGGGTAGAAGTGAAGATGAGGGCAGGTCTTTTTGGTCCTATTTTGTGTATGTGGTTGCAGGGGTCAAACTAAGTGATTCACACATGCAAAACAAGTGCTCTGAGCTGACTCCTGCACCCATAGGTTTTTTGTTTGTTTTGGGTCACACCTGGCGATGCGCGGGGGTTACTCCTGGCTCATGCACCCAGGAATTACTCCTGGCGGTGCTTGGGCGACCATATGGGACACTGGGGATCGAACCCAGGTTGGCCGCCTGTAAGGCAAACGCCTTACCTGCTGTGCTGTCCCTCTAGCCCTGCGCCCATAGGTTTTAATATGTTTAATAGGCCTCAGTCTTAAGCTTGAAAGTTTAAACTTTTCCACTTGTGACTTCTTTTTGCCCCCAAATTTTATACTATAAAAAAATCAGACATTGACTTAACATAAATCATAGATTTATCTTAAAATTTCCAAGGCATTTAGTTGTGTGGCCCCAAGTAGTGTTGCATGTTGAGACATGTGTGTCCCACCATTGGGTCATACTTGGATGTGGCTTAACAAAAATTTTAGCACAAGCCTCAGCCCATTAAGAAACTGGAGTCTTGAGGACTTCCAAGTAGAAACAGCTAAGAGGCAAATGAATATGAGCATCTGGATTTGACAGACACAGCTCGCTGACTTGGTCCCTGAAATTTGGGAAGGGTTAATTATCCAAGTTGCTGCTGAGAACTTGATCTCAGAGAAGTAAGAAACTTGGCAGGATGGGAGAAGGGTGGGGGTTGCGTTTTAAATGTAATAGTCTTCTCCAAATGTACAGACACGCCAACTCAAAGCACCTTCTTCTTTTTCAGGTATTTGAATCGCTTCAGCAGCGAGCTGGAGCAGATTGAACTGCACAACAGCATCAAGGACAGGCAGGGGCGACGCCACTGTTCCCGGGAGACGGTCATCAAGCAGACGATGGAGCGGGAGCGGCAGCAGTATGAAGGATACGGCCTGGGTGGGTTGACTTTCCTTGGTTTCTTTGGCGATTGTTCTTTCTTTTCCTCCAAAATTACACAGCAACGTCAGATGGAGATTTCATTTCAAGAGCTTGATTTTCTTCCACTGATTGAATACATGGAACAATTTTTGAACATATTCATTTTCCCCCGCATCTCCCAGACTCAGTGTTGCCTATCTCTCTGCTGCGGCAGGAACATTTTTCACTTTGAAATGGCACATTTTAGAGATACTGCTTGCCCTTGTCTAACTGTACCTGTTTCCGTAAAGGAGGTACTGTGTCCTTGTCATCTTTGTAACTCTTCTAAAATTTTATTTATCTATCTATTTATTTACTTTGGCTTCAGGCTACACTCAGTGGTGCTCAGGTCTTATTCCTGACTTTGTGCTCATTCCTGGTGGTATTTGGGTATTTGTGGGGAGCGTTCTGCGATGTTAGGGACTGAACCACAGTAAGGCATTTGGGTGCAAGGACTGTAGTCCCTGCACCATCTCTCTGGCCCTTGGTTTTGTAATTAACAGTGTCATCTGAGCTCCACTTGTCACTAGTCCCTGAGAAGCATAAAAATGGAGCAGTTTTTTCCCAGCTTATTTGAAACTTTTGCAGTTCGTAAGATAGGATGTTACTATTTGAGCAGAGGGCTTGGTACTGTATGAACGCAAGTGCTTAGAAGGAGAGAATAGTTGAGGCTTGAAAGCTCTCACCCAAAGAGTGGCAGCCCCAAGCCCATGAGTGGCCGCAGTGATTCCCGTTGATATACTGTCAGGGCTTACAAAGTCTGGTGATATCCTATGGGAAATGTGAACTTCTGGCTTTTCTTAAAAATATCAGATGGGGGCCTGGAGACAGAGTCCAGCAGGTAGGGGGCTCTCCTTGCTGTAGCTCAGTAGGATCCCTACAGCCTGCCCTGAGTGATTCTTGATTGTGGAGCCTGGGTAATCCCTGAGCAATGCTGGGTATGTCCCAAAGCAGAACAAAACAGAATCTGATGGCCTGGCCCTCCCTGTAACAGTAAAGCTTGATACCAGTTCTTTCTCTTGAAATTCTGCATATATGCTCAAGCCTGCCCTGACCAGGAACCTTTGTTCATTCACCTTCCTTCTCTGATCCCTGTAGGCATTTATGTTAAGTAGATGTGCTTGAAAAGTACCTAATTTAATAGCATAATAAAAGCTTTAATTTTTAATAAGAACACTAGGTCTGAGATCCTAAAGGAAATAGCCTTTGTTAACTGTAATAACCAGCCCCAGCAGTTTACAGGGTCCTCATTTACTGGGGCCCAGACCACCCACGGGAAGCCCGCAAGACCTTTCCTTGACCGGAGCCAGTGTTGTAATTGGAGCGGTCTGGCGGTTGTTAGGATTGCAAAGCAGACCCTAGCAACAGGCATCCCTGAGCTTGGAGATAAACACGATTTATTACTCAGAAGTCCCTAGACTCGGTCTGCCTGCAGACTGGGGCAAGGTCAGGGACTGAACTAGATTCTGGGGGCCTGCTTCTGTGTCTTTATTCAGACCCAAGGTCCCCAGGGCTTAATGACTCCCCAGTTCTTGGCACATTAGAAACATAATAGCATGACTCAGGGGCTGGGGAATGGAAATGAAGATCCCACAGGTGCCCACTGACCTAGGTCACCTTGGGCCTTCTGAAGGGCAACCTTCTGGGTGCTTGGCAGCCTGGTGTCTTACTTCGCTGGGTGGTGTGTGCCAGTAGCTGTATCATACAGCTAGCAACATGTTTATTCAAAATAGCTGGTTTTGAAAAATGAGTGCATCAGCCATCAAAGGCTTAATGTCAGGCCCTTAAATTACAATCAGAAAGCGTGTGGCAGGCGTTTACACTGCGTTAGTATCAGAAGCTCTGAAGTGGATGGCAGGTCCTCTTCATCATTCCTTTGATGTGCTTTTTAATTTGAAAACCAACAGTGATCCGCTTTAGAACTGTATAAATCTGAACTTACAGCTCCTTGCGTAAACAGGCAAAGAACCCCTCCTGGGCTTTGTTTTTCTCCTTCAGTTTGGGGATAAATAGCACTCCTCTTCCCCTGGGTTGTCTAACAGTTAAATAAGACTTCATTTATCAGCATGCATGACATAGTACCTAATATTGCAGGTTGAGGGAAAGTTTCAACAAGTTTTGTGTTCTTTTCATCTCAGTAATTATCTTCTAAAGGTGTAAAATTTACCTATGGCTGTAGTCTCCGTTTATTTTCCATGTCCATTTTAATTAGATTTTCGTCCCCACCACTCACCTTGGAGTACTAGTCTCCCAGAGCCTTTAAATTGCTCTAGTGAGCTTTGACATTCCGTCTACATTTCTGTAGCATTTGATACTGATGGTCACTTTTTTTTTTGCTGGTCTCACACATTTCATTTGTTGGAAAAGACACTGAGGTTTTTAGTTTTTCCTCCTAATTGACCAATCATACTTCCAGCTCCGACACGGAATCCGTCTCATCTTTGCAAACTCAATATTGGCCCAGGTTCCTGTCTCTGGATCTTGTCACTTTTCCATTTATACCAATTCTTGAGTCGCATTCATTTAATCCATGGTTTTAAAAGCCATCTAAGTGCTAATAACTCCTAAAACTCACATTTGTATCACCAAACTTGGGTTTCCTAAAAATCTATACTGAATATCTTATGTGCATTTGAAACTTGAAGTGGCCCAACCTGCTTTTTCCCTGAAACTTGCTTCTCCCGTAAGATCCATATTTTACTCGGTGCAGTCACACTTACCAGTTGTTTACATTCACACCCGTATCCAGCTCACCAGTATATTTAGAGTCTGTGACTCTCACTGCTATTGCCATTACTTTCCTACCTCTAGCTACGAGCATCTCATGGGTACCATCCTCACAAACTCCCGGTTGGTCTCTGCTTTTGCTCTTTTGTCCTGAGGGTGAAACATGTAACCACCAGATGAATAGTAAGTAATAACACATGAAAGTCAAGCATTGACTGGTCCTAGAGCCAGGACTGAAACTCAGATCTAGTGTTCTTCTAATTATGCCCTGGGGTTTCTTCTAGATTTAGGGTGTATATCTGGTGAAAGGCAGTTTTATAAACTTAACAAGTTCACCAGTACCTGGAATTCCATGGGCAAAGTGAAATTCACCGAATCCTGTTTGGTAGAGTTCAGAGAAGATGAGATAGTAACACCTCTAGCTCCCCATTCAGATTCCTGTGCCTTTCTCCCTCCATGTGTTGTATCTGATATATTTTATTCGTTGTTTAAAAAAATCTATTTTTGTCTTTCCCTTCCTTGTTGATGTGGTTGCAGTGACGGGGGTTTCCGCACATGCCCAGCTGTGATGCTCGCACAGCTTTAAGTGCTGTTTGGGGCAAATTGTACATCTCACACACTTGCACTTGCTTGACCCTGCAGGGATGGTGGAGATTTGCACTCTTTAATGTTGGTGATTGTACATGTGTTCACCGGGACTTGCACTTAGTGGAGCCATGAGAGTTGTTGGGGCTGTCACTCTGACACATGCTCTTGCCAGCACTTATGCTTCCTGACCCTGATGCTTGCTGTCTGACCCTGGGGATCAGACAGCAGAGCGGCGGCCTCAAACCATGCAGCTGCCAGAACTGCTCAATACACCTCTGATGCCAAGGATTTGACCCCCATTTCCAGATACCTGTGAGCAGGTGCTCTGAGCTGTTGTTCCCCAGGTTTTGGGGAGGGGAGGGGTGCGAGGTTTTTTTTTTTTTTTTAATTTCTGCTTGAGACACCATAATTTATACTACCGTTAGTGATAAGGTCTCGTGTGAACTGTGTGCACACCTGACACGTGCGTGTCTGCTCTTTACCACCATTGCCTCCTCTCAGTCCCATACCTCCAGCTCTGGGCTTTTATGATTTTGTATTTTAAATTTTATGTTTGTTGTATGATTTTAGCACCTAGGTCTTTTCGCTGTTACTTTCTGAAACTATTACAAAAGCCAGCCTATAGCTGTGACAAAAGCTTTTACTGGGACATGGGGTGGGGGCGTTGAGCACACCAGACTGCTCGGGACCTATTCCCGGCAGTGTTTGGGTGGGCGGGGGGTCCACACGTGGCGTCTGGAATAGAACGCGGCCAGCTGCACACCTGGCAGGTGTCTTACTGTACTACCTCTCTGGTCCAATAGATATAATTTACCCTTTACATTAATGAGAATTTGATTTTAATATTTTGCTGCTTGACCAAATGTTTTCAGTGGTATTCATTTTTTAATTATAAATGCCCACTATGTTCCATCAGTAAAAAATGTTTGTGCATATTCTTCATCATCTTCACCTTGTATTGTAGGGGATTAATAGCTATACTTGACTGGGTAACTTTCATGGCTTAAAGAAAAAGATAAGTTTTGATTTGTTAATATTTTTGTTTTATGTCTTTAATTCTATGCTATGTTTTATTAATAGCATTTTCTTAAATCATATTCTTTTGGGGGTGGGCGGGGCATACCTGGTGATGGCTCGGGTTACTCCTGGCTCTGCACTCAGGAATTACTCTGGCAGTGCTTGGGGACCATATGGGATGCCGAGGATCTGGGCATCTAACTGGGTCAGCTGTATTAAGGCAAATGCTGTACCTACTGCACTCTCTCCAGAATAATCATATTCTTAATCTGAGCTCTTAAACGTATAAAACTAATTTTTTCTGTAGCATTTTAGCACTCTTTAAATTGTGGTTTTCTTTGTGGCATTCATCATTCATTAAGTATTTGAGCTTATAAGGAAACTATACAATGTTATAATTTATAAAATATCTTCTAATAAATGTAATTATTTTTTTTCAGAGATTCCAGATATTGTAAATTCAGGAAATCTGAAAACTTTCAGGTGAGTTTCTTTTTTTCTTCTTGGAAGCAGCTTATAAAATGAATGAGACATCTTGAGTCTAGCCTTTAGACTAAAAGAAAATGTCTTTTTGGGCAAAAAAGACTTTGTACAAAGTACAGGGACTTTGATGATTCTTATGTTGTTCCTCTTACTCTGATTCCATAGTTTTCTGGTTTGCCATTTATTTCTTTTCAGACTCTTCCATCTTCTGTTATTTTCTAGAGTTTTCCTTCATGTTGGAGCTCCTTAATCTTTTTCTCAACTGCTCTTACTCTGCTGTTCTTACCTTTTTTTTTTTTTTTTTTTTTTTTTTGCTTTTTGGGTCACTCCTGGCTCTGCACTCAGGAATTACCCCTGGCGGTGCTCAGGGAACCACATGGGATGCTGTGAATCGAACCCGGGTCGGCCGCGTGCAAGGCAAACGCCCTACCTGCTGTGCTATCTCTCCAGCCCCTTACCTTTTATTTTTTATTTATTTTCCTTATATGCCAAAAGCATGAAATATCTCTGACCACCAGCCTAGGCATCAAGCTAGCAGGAACAAAGGAGAGACTTTTTTGCCCTGGACAGGTATAAAATGAGTTATCTCTTTGCCCATTGCCAGGGGTTTTGCTCATTTCTTTTCATTGTATTTTTTATATCACCTTTATTTGTGCTTTTTTTCCCCACTCTTCATTTCTGTCACTTTTGATTTTACTTATCTCATTTCTGCTCTCATTCTTTCTTATACGTTTATGACTACCTGTGCTATCATTTCTTCAAGTTCATTGAACACCCTCACCTTGGTGCACTAATGTTCTGAGAACTTCCTGAGTTGTTTTTGTTCCTTCCCTGCCTGACAGGAGTTCTCTAATCATGAGTAGGGTGACATTTCATGAGTAGAGTTCAGGAGATGTACAGGTAGGCCCATGATACATATATATGGTGGAGCTCAGGCATGGAGACTCTTGATATTCTTTTTTACCTTTAATATTAATCACATATATAAATGTGCTCTTTATTTCTTAACCATTGTATGCGCCATCCCAAAGAAAGCCTGAGCAAGAGAAGAAATGAACACAGAATATTAGTGTTGCTGGTCAGCGTTCTGTTCTCCATATAGAATTTTCATTGCTTCTTTAATTGAACATGGTATTATTGTCACAAGACACGACAAGATTGGAAACAGAAAGTTTACTGTTTTAACTACAACCATAACTAGTGGTACTGAAATTTAACTGTGACTTACATTGTGTGTTAAAATGAAAGTCTGGGGCCGGAGAGATAGCACAGGAGACACTTGCTTTGCATGCAGCTGACTCATGTTTGATCCCTGGCACCCATATGGTTGCCCACATGTCCCCAGGAGTGATAGTTTTCTGTGCTTTTATTTATATATTTTTTTAACATTTTCAATATTGGAAATTATTGTATAGTTCATTGTATAACTATTTTAGATTAATGAGAAAACACCTTAAATAAAGTGGGGGGAATGCTTTTGGAATTTATTTTTAAATCTTTTTATTGAATAACTGTGAGATAAACCATTAAGAAGGTGTTCACAATTGGATTTCAGTCACACCGTATTCCAACACCCATCCCTCCACTGGTGTGCATTTCCCAGCACCATTATCCCCAGGTTCCCTCCCATCACCAACACCCCCCACCCCTCATCCCCTGCCTGCCTCTACGGCAGCCACTTTTCTTCTCTCTAGCTCTCTCTCTTTCCCCCTCTTTGCCCCTCTCTTCCCCTCCCTCCCCCTCTCTCCCTCCCCATCTCCTCATCTGCCCCCGTCTTTCCCTATCTCCCCCCGTCTCCCTATCTCATTCTCCTCTTGGACATTGCGGTTTACAATATTGATACTGAAAGAGAATATCCCTTACCTACTTGAACACTCAGACATTGTCCAGCCTGATCATTCCCAGCTATTACTGGCATACTGGTCTCTTCTCAATCTTACCTACCCTCAAGCCCCACACATATTTGTGGTTAGTTCCAACCATTGACCAGTCCTCTTAACCCCTGTTTTCCCTGGCCATGGATATTAGTCTTCGCTATATATTTTTATATACCACAAATGAATGCAGTCATTCAATATCTGTCCCTTTCCTTTTTCACTCAGCTTGATATTTTCTATGTTCATTCATTTACAGGAAAATTTCTTGACTTCATTTTTCCTGACAGCTGCATAGTATTCCATTGTGTGGGTGTGCCATAGTTTCTTTATCCATTTGTCTGTTCTCAGGCACTCAGGTTGTCTCCAGATTCTGGCTATGGTGAATAGTGCTGCAATGAACATAGGAGTGCAGATGGTGTTTCTGTGTGTCTGTGGCCCCCCTGGAATTTATTGCCAGAAGTATTTCTGGGTCAAATGGGAGCTAGTTTTTTGAGAACCATCCATGTTGTTTCCAAAAAGGCTGGACCAGTTGGCATTCCCACCAACAGTGAAAAAGAGTCCCTTTCTCCTCAAATCCACGCCAACAGTGGTTGCTTTTGTTCTTTTAGATGTGTGCCAGTCTCTGTGGTTATGAGATATCTCGTTGCTGTATTGATCTGCATCTTCTTGGGATTTTTTTTTTTCCTCTAATGAATACATTTGGTTGGAATTGATTCATAAATTTCTTATGCTTTCGTGATTTGTGATGCTTTCTCCTTCCTCACTTCACCCATTCTGACCCTTTCTATTCTTTCTTTTGTCTAGGGAATGGGATTCTGATCTGAAGAAATTACCAAACATTAAAATGAGAAAAATTTGTGCTAATGATGCAGTTCCTAAGAAGTGCAAGAAGAAAGCTATTACTACAGCTGCAGACAAAGATTTAGGGGAATTGAAACTAGAAGATGAATCAAGTGACACAGATGAGGAAATGACTGCAGTGGCCTAACTGTTTTTACTTGATGTGAAAGTAATTTGAGAACCTCAAGTTAAACTCAAGTAACTGTGGTAAATAACTGTCTAGATCCTAGACTTTGCTGTTTAACTTATTGTCTGCATAAAGTGAGAGTCCCCCACCCACCCCCCACCCCCGCGCCGTGCACCATTTGCAGTTTTAAAAACAATGTAAAATTTTTATTTAAAATAAATGTTGCTTTCCATTTACACTAAATTGCTAAAAGAGAAGTGATCAGCAAAATCCATTTACATCTGAATTTTTGAGACTGGAAAACAATTTGAATCTGGACAAATGTTTTAATGTTCTCCCCACCTAATCTCACATTTTAGAATGTGTTCAACAGCCTTTTTTTCTCAAAGGATAACTTTATGAGCAGTGCCGATACCAAAAGTATCTTTTAGGGATAGTTTGTTCAAAGTCTTTCTCTTAAATGCTGTTTTTCCTTATAAATTAGCAAAACTGAGGCCTGTGTCAAAAGGCTGGAGTCGACGCTTTGCATGCGTGTCCCCTGCAGACTGCCAGGCAAGGGCCCAGGACACTGTCTGGTATGGCCCCCCCAAGAAACTAAACAAATAAAATAAAATGTGATAACGGGAGTCATAAACGCTAATGGAGTTTACCTTATTTTTATTTTTTTGAGCCAGAGTTATATGGTATAAAAAATGTCTATTTCTATAATGTTGATCTGTACTAAATCTGTTATCTTTTGATAAAAAAGGACATGTGATGAGATTTGTATATGTTGTGTGTGTTTTTACTGCTGCTTATTGTGAAAGGTGATTTGTTGTGGAGTTACTTTTTATTTTTGGAAACAGTACTAAATATTAGAAAAATCAATTGTTTCCGTTTATTTATTAGTTTTCCCTAAGAGGTTAAGATTAAATAGTCTGCTATTCAAAAACCAGGAGAAACAGAGATGTGGCTGAATTTGCTCTTTCTAGAACTTGCACAAGAATCTATTCATCTAAAAAAATGCAATATAAGTGTACTTGAATATTAAGAACAGAAGTAAGTGTACTTGAATATTAAGAACAGAAGAAAATGCTGAGAGGTTGACTAGATTATCAGCAGTCTTGTTAACAGTTTATTTAAAATGTTACAGGTCTTTTACTTCTGGAAAATTAGTTTTTTCTATAATTTCACTTACTACGCCCTAGTTAATTTTCGGTGATAGAACTGATGTCAGTATTCTTGTGCTTTAGTAATCTGTGAAAGTATGATTTTTTGATTACATAATAAATTTCTGTCTTGTTAGTCATTGGAAATTTTCATTTTCTTTAGTAGATGGTTCATATTAAATCTTAAAATGAGTACAGAAAGCAAGTCACAAATTACATTAAAAGGAATCAAAACTTTCATCTGGTGTAATGCTCTAAAAGCCATACTTACGGATGAATAACTGAAAATGACAGATCATCCTTCCCCAGACATTGTTCCCAGTTTTCCATCTGCTAAGTGGAGGGAGGGAGGCAAGGAGGGAGGGAAGCCAACCCATAAGAGCACTGTTTGAGTTAGAACAGATAGCTATTTGTTGAATGAATAAATTTACATTACCATTAAAGATCGTCAGTTTCTTGTCGCTTCCAGAGTAGCCTAAAGATGTCATTTTTCTGTCTCCCGCCCCCCCCCAGTTTTGGGGCCATAACTGGCCATGCTCAGTGGCCACTTCCAGCATTGCTCAGGAAACCATGGAGTGCTGGGGATGGGAACTCTGGCCTCTGTCATGGGAAGCTCCTTCTCTGACCCACATGGAACTGCTCTGTAGAGGAATGTTCTAAGCAGTAGCACTGTAGCACTGTCCTCCCATTTTTAATCAATTTGCTCGAGCGGGCACCAGTAATGTCTCCATTGTGAGACTTGTTGTTACTGTGTTTGGCATATCGAATGCATCATGGGTAGCTTGCCAGGCTTTGCTGTGCGGGCGAGATACTTACTCTTGGTAGCTTGCCAGGCTCTCCAAGAGGGGCAGAGCAATCGAACCCAGGTCGACCGGGCTGGCCACATGCAAGGCAAATGCTCTACTTATGTGCTATTACTCCAGCCCCATTCTTAGCAGTTGCGAGGTCAATTTCTGTAGGATGTGATCCTTCTGTAGCCATAGCTCTCTCTCCTGTACTGGACTCTGATCAGTAGTGTCTTTGCAACATTTGCTCTGGTCCATAGCCATGGAACAGAGTAAAAGTAACTTGCTTTGTTTTGGTAAAGAGCTGGGGAGTAGATACTTTATGTGTTGTGGGTTAAATGCAGCTGTTGTTGTTTGTGTGCATGTTTGCATCTTTGACTACCCTTCTTTTAAAAATGTATGTGTCATTCCGGTTCTTGTCAGTGCACAAACAGGCTGCAGGGTGGATTTGGCCTCCTGATGTTTGCCAGGCCCTGGTTGAGATCCTTGAGCTGAATTCCTTGGATATCTCCCCACGTTTTCTACCTAATTTCTCAAGCCTCTAAGACTAAGTTAATACTTGATTCTTTCCTCTGTTCCCTGTCTGCCCTCAATCATATATAATATCACTGTATCACTGTCATCCCATTACTCTTGGTAGCTTGCTGGGCTCTCCGAGAGGCATATATATAATGTATATTATATATATATATATATATATATATATATTTCTCTATGATTTGTTGCCTACTGTCTAAACTCCATCAATCATGGTGTGGGAATTATGGAAAATGGGTAGGAAGTGTCTTATGATGTGTCATACAGCTGCAAAGCGGCCTGGAGTGTGGCAGTGGTTGGTAGTGGAGGTCGGCTGCTTTGGAGCGGGGAGCACTCTTCCGCCCCCCTCTGGGGTGCCCTGAGTGAAAATAGCCTGGTGCGGAATCAACTGGGTATCACCCCAGACCAAAAAATTAGGAAACCTCTGATTAGAAAAAACAGGGACCCTCCCTAAGATTTACCTCTGATGGTCTCGAAATTATGTATTACCTTAATATTATGCTAAGTGAATGGAGTCTTTGAGTGGAGGGGAGGGTTTGGCCCATAGCCGGCCGTGCGCAGGGGATGTCCCTTGTTCTGTACTCAACGAGTGACTCCTGCAGGTTTCTCAGACCATACGTGAGGCTGGGACCCCTGGACTATTATCTCTCTGACACTGAAAAAAAGAAATTCAAGAAAAAAACCCAAACAAACCAAAAAACTTAAATAATAAATATAATAGAATATATAATGAAATACTAATTCCACTGACTCTTGGTTCAATAAGGAATGTCAGATAGACCCATCAGTCTATTTCCTCTCTCCCCTTTCTTAAGCCGCCCCATGGTGCCTATACCACATGGCATAGCTTCCTCACTGGCCATTCTTTTTGTCCTTCTTAATCCATTCTCCAGGATTGCTTGTGAAGTTTGAAAATATACTGTTCCAGTTTAAGCCCTTAGAGTGTCATGCATGCCAGACATCGTGTGTGTGTGTGTGTGTGTGTGTGTGTGTGTGTGTGTGTGTGTGTGTGTGTGTGGTGGGGCTGGAGGTTCTCAGCTATGTTCAGGAGACCTGGGGTCACTCCAGGTAACACTTGCCCTGACTCTATGGGCACGATGATCAGGTTCTCTGACCCAGGGCCACCCAGCAGTGCTCAGGGCTCTCCAGGGCTCTCTCTGGTGGTCTTGGGGGACGTGGCACCTGGTGCTGGGGATCCAACTTGGGGCCTCCCACTTGCGTCCCCACCTTTGAGCTATCTCTTTAGCTCTTCCTTCACAATTTTTAAAATGCTGTATTTATTTTGTAGGTATACTTTTGTTTCCAGCCACTTTTTTTAAAAACACAAACCAGGTTTTATTTTTATTTATTTAGAGCAGTTTTAGGTTTACACAAGAATTGATTTTATTTATTAATGGTTTTTGGGCCACACCTGGTGGTGCTCAGGGCTTACTCAGTGCTCTGCACTCAGGGATTATTCTTAGCAAGGCATGCAAAAATGCAACAAGGCAAGCAACGTGCAAGGCAAATGCCCTCCGTGCAGTACTACCCCTCTAGACATTCCATCTGCCACTGTCCCCGTGGGGCTGGAGTGATAATACAGCGGTAGGGCGTTGCCTTGCTCGAAGCTGGCCCAGCCGAGCCAGGTTCAGTTCCTCCGCGCTCCTCTCGGAGAGCCCAGCAAGCTACCGAGAGTATCTCTTCCTCACAGCAAAGCCTAGCAAGCTACCCGTGATGTATTCAATATGCCAAACACTGTAACAAGTCTCACGATGGAGACATTACTAGGCCGCAATGGGAGGACAGTGCTACAGGATAGTGCTACTGTCCCCATGCAAGCAGAGTCCTTCCCTACCATGGACAGCCCCACCAGAATATAAATTGCTACAGTTGGTTGCTTGCCCTGCATTTAATCCTGTCACATTTTCAATAAAATGTTTGTTCTGTACTATGCCCAAGAGGTTCAGAAATGATTTTATTTCAGATTGTTTTTCCAAGCTCAGTTTGTTAAGAATTTGCATTTCCTTCTTATACTAACATAAAGCAAAGGGCTTACTCCTTGGGGGAGCCTAAGGGTATGTGGACTGAACGACCACTTAGAAGACAAGTGCCTTATTCCTTGTATCTCTCCAGGTGCAAGGGCTTATTTTTCAACTTACCATTTCTTTCTTGATATTTCTTGTTCAGGATTTCAGTATTTTTGTTGTTGTTGTTGTTGTTTGGGTTAACCTGGAGGTACTCAGGGGTTACTCCTGGCTGTGCACTCAGGAATTACTCCTGATGGGGCTCGGGGGACTATCAGGGGTGCCAGGCATTGAACCTGGGTCATCCACATGCACAGCAAATGCCCTACTGGCTGTACTATCGCTCTGGCCTAAGGACTTCAGTACTTAACCGATCCCTCTGCCTGCATTGCCGTTTCCTCGAGTTGAAGTATCTTGACCCACACTTCGGCAGTTTTTGGTCATCTTTGTCACACTCTTAGTGTTGACATCTGTAGTTGAATACACACTAAAAAAAATACTGGTCTACAGATGTTCTAATTTGGGCGGTAGAAGAAAGGTATACATAGTTCAGATACCCACTTTGGGCAGAATAATGAGCGACTAGAACAAGGTTTTTGTTTTTGTTTTGCGGTTTGAGCCACACCCAGCTGTGCCTGGGCTTCTGACTGCTCTGGGAGCACTCTTGGCATCCTGGCAGGGCTCAGGGGACCATATGCAGTGCAGGTGGTTAAACTGAGCTTAGCAGTGAGTACGGCAAGCGCCTTAACCCCCTTAGACTATCTCTCAGGCCCTCACCAACAGTGAGCATTCTTTCTTTTTTTCAAAAAAAAATTCATTTTAATCAACCATGCTTTACAGTTTTCCAATAATAATTAGCCTTCATTTCCAGGGCCAAGCGGTTTATTTGCCCTGCATTCAAACTTACAAAAGTTGAGGCTTTGAGAGGGATGTTTCCTTTACTTCTTAGACTGGATGTAGATTGTAAAGCTCTTATTCTTTATTTTTTTATGAAATTATCTGAATCTAATTTCTCTGACTATAAAAATTGCTATTCTATTGTATATTCAATCCTCATTCACGAGAAAATCCCTTAGATTACATTGTGATCTTACTTTTTTTTTTCTTAAGGAGTATTTTAAGAATACTTACAAATATATTTATAAAAATCTATGGATAAGTTTTCTTGTTCATTTGCTTGCTTATTTCTCTATAGTGGGTCAGTTGATTTATGCCGTATAATTAGGATGCTACCTAATCTAACCCAGTTCAGACTCTGCCTTGAAACCAGGGTAAAACCTGAATAATTCAATCCTGTCTGAAGTCAGATAAATCATGTATAGAAAGCCCCTGATAGAAAGTCCCCCTACAGAAAGCCCCTGATGGTTTGATAGAAAGTATCGAAAACACAGAGGAGGTTTGAATCACTTTTTAATATACAAAGTCTTTCACAGATAATTATTTTCTTTTCCTTAATTTGTCTTAGTACACATTATTCACAAAACAGTAAATTATTAATGCAAGAGAATTAGGTAAAGCCAAAAAGAGTACAAATGTTCATCTCAAAAAATTGCACACAGTTAAAATAAATTTTCCTTGTTTTGTTGTAACACAATATCCAATTTCAAAATGGGCTTTCTTCAGCTGCAGAGGAAAAAAACACTGTAGCCCAAAATAACAGTACTTCCTTTCAATTGTATTGATATGTAAAATAGCACCTTTGGGTTGATTTACAGACAGGAAAAAAAGGTCTTCATCTTTCTTAATTAAAGTGTGTTTAAGTCTAACACTGTTATTTTCTAACAATTGTAGTAATGATGATTTTTTTGGAGCATTTTTTTAGTCCAAAATATTCATTGGCAAGGAAAGGTAACCTATGTAAGGCAGATGGGATAATCTCCTACCTTACCCCAGTGTCAGCTAAAATACATTAATGAATCATGAGCCAAATTTCTAGCCAAGAGTAAATGTACCTAAGAACCTTTTGCAAAACAAGATGAATGTATAATTATGAGGGTCTCTCTCTGGACCGTAACCGTATGTAGTATCCGTTCTCGCTGAGATTTAATCATAGAGCACTTTGATATTTTTGTTAGTTTTGTTGTTGGATCACACCCTGCTGTGCTCAGTGCTTACTCCTGGTCCTGTACTCAGGGATCATTCCTAGTGGTGATCACTCAGGGAGCTGGGGATTGAACCGGGGTTGGCTGTATGCAAGGAAACCTTCTTCCCCCTATATTCTTCCTCTTGGCCCAGTCCTGGAGCATTTTGAAAAGACTCTGGCATATTCCTGTCTTCACTTTCTCCATTGCTGATGAGACCATTTTGATTCCAAGTCTTTCCTCCCCTCCCATTTTTGTTGTTTTTGTATTTAAACTTAAGGCCATTTTGAATGATATTTTTTTTTTAAATTTTGGAGTTCCATCCATTTGATATTTAAGTTTTTGGTCCTACACAATGAGAGTGATAGTTTTTAGTTAAAAAACTAACACATAACTACTGTGCAGCACGGTACTAGTAGTCAGATTCATGTTATAAAATTAAGGTTTTTAAGTGAACTCTCAGTTCGTTTTTCAATTTGAATCTTTTCTTTCAGCTTCATTTTATGTCTCACACAAGCAGGCAAGCATACTTTGAAACGTTTGTCATTTCAGGGAGCAGTTTTTCTTCTTGAGGATTACATCCAGTCTACAAAGACATGCCATAAAGCCTTGCCCCTGCCCCACATCGTGTATTGTGCAAAGAAGGTACAATAAATGCACAGAGTTTGACCCTTAAACTGGCATTGTAGGAAGACTTTTAAAAAAAGATTTCCACTCAAAAGTTAGGGTTTTAAAAGGTCAGGAAAGAATAACAGAATCTGACTTTTTAACTACTTGGGACAATATTCTCTTACTCATCAAACCCGGTTAATGTTCATTGCAAATTTAGATCTTGTTTTAAAATAACACATCCTCTTTTGTGGGCATTGTGCTAGTGCTTGCCTTTATTTTTCATTCTAAAAATGTTTTTTTTAGTATTGGGTTGTAGACTAATAAAGGCGGCCTGATTTTAGCCAATCACTTCTCACCATGAAATGATCTATACACTTAATCTCGCTTAAGGTTTATACAGAATTCAGACTATTTTGGGTGGTAATTAAGGTAGGTAATCCTTTTTCTTCTAGGCCAAACAGAAGGGAAATCAATATTTTTTTGTTTGCTGGTGACTGTTGCCATTGCTAAACAACAGGAGAAATAGATTAATTCAATGCTTAGAAAAATTGCAGAGAAGTCAAGTTCAATCTTTTGGGTGAGGTGATGTTAAGTCACCCAAAACTTTTTTATCCGTAAGTAAATTTTTCTAATGACCTTTTAAAAACGAACATCTAAAATGAATTTAATGCAAGGTTTAATTTATTGAAGTATGTCATTTTTTTTTAACGCCACGTTTGTCTTTTATTTGCACAGAAATATTGGCCGCAGATTAATTCCCTCCATTTTGTTTCCTATGACTATTCCATGGCCCTCCACGTTTTAAGAAAGATGAGTTTTAAGCCTTTTTTTTCCCAACTGACAGAACCATGACATTCCTTGTGTATATACATGAATTCACACCCATGCCACACACACATACACAAAGTTGACATTGTTTACCTCGTCTTTATCTCTACAAATCGGGACTACTTGGACTTGGTGTCAACCACTACTAACATGTTACTTCTCTCCTCATTACAGGTTATTTCTTTTTCCTATGATAATTTTTGAAGAACAAGCACACAGATAATTACAAAAGTGCATCAATTGAAATTCAGGTCTGTGCGACGCGATACCCATGCTTTGGTTCTTACGGCCATCATCATGGTTGTCTTTTCACAATAATAAATATGACAGCTAACAAAAATAAACCACCTGTTTTCATTGTAAGACATCTTTCTTTGACAGGTCACTATATCTAAAGTCTTTAATCTAGCTCACTGCAGTATCATTCACGCTTCTGTTTTACATGAATATGCAAAGAACACAATAATCAACTGAACTGTCAAACCTAAACAACTCAATTTATTACTTATCAGAGAATCTGTTGAGTATTTCTTTGCTTCCCAGCTGGGCAAGGAAAAGACTGGCAGCTTTTTAAAAGTCAAAATGCTTACTGTGATTTCTCATCTGTAAAGTTGACACCATGTAGATTTTTAAAAAAAAAAAAACAACCTTACACATTAACAACAAAATATTTAAGTTTTATTTTCCCTGTCATAGGTGCTCTATACTAGCAAACCAAAGTGAATATATATCAGAACTTCACCACACATTTTCTTTTCTTTCTCCCCACCTCTGATTCCCTTTCGTATTTTCGTTTCTCACCCTTTAAGGAAATCATTTATTTCTAACCCTTTAATCAACGTTAAATTTGATCATTTTAGTGCTATGTCAAATCATAGCATGTGTGAGCCTTTGAATTAAAATATTATTTTTAATAAATATTCAAATTAAGTAAATACTCAACTAAAATGTCTTGGTTGCTAGTTTTTAGGGACATGCTATTCAATATGATTAACTCAAATTGAGAGATCCTAGAAGGATAAAATACATAGTGGAATTTGAAGATTTGGTTCATAAAAAAAGTTTGTGGGGCCAGGGAGATGGCTCAAAGGGCTGGGTGGAGCACATGCTTTGCAAGCTGGAGTCCAGGTTAGAGCCATGGTGCCTCTCTGTCATTAAGCACCACGCTGGGAATAGCCTGCAAAAGCCACCAGATATGTGGTACAAGAAAAATAAAGTGATTGGAAGTATTTCATTTTTTTATGTAGCTGATGTGTTGAAACAATAACGTGGATAGTGTTAAAATTTATTAAAATTTTATCTTTTTTTACTTTCTACTAGAAAATTTAAAATATACACACATGATCAGCATTTGTGTCTCATTTTTCAGTGGACAGTGCTGTTTTTAGAAAAAACATAGAGGACAAAATCATTATTTTCAACTCTGGGTATTTACCAGGGCTCATCAGTCTCGAAAAATCTTTTGTTCATGGTTTCAACATAGACTGTAGCATCTTCAAATGTGTATTACATCTATTTTAACAACATGCATCTGTCAAAACAACTGGACTCCACTATAGCCATTAAAATCATTGACTGCCAAAGTATGAATATCCAAAGATGCATCCTCCAAGGTTCCTTCTAACATGTCTTAGGGATACTGCACATATTTTAAGCTTGAAAACAAGTATGTTATTTCCAGATGAGATAGTTAACATTACAAGACCCCAGAAGAAACACACACTGCAACTCAAGTCTATATTCTTGAACTTCCTCCTGCTGCTGTGAAAAGTATGTGTCCATGTAGTCTTTCTTCATTGCTTAAAAGCGTTCCTTGCTCCAGTGGTTCTTAATTGTCTTTAGAAATCATTCAATATCAAACAAACTTTTCACTTTCCTCTTTCACTTTAGACTTTGTTCCAGAGATCCTGATCATTTGGTGTGTTTTTCCCTCCTCTCCTTTCTTTTGTGAGTAAAGTAAGTTAAAGTAAGTCGGTAGAAGAGATAGTCATTCAGGATCACTTTGTCATTGTAGTGGCTGAGGGCTAGAAACTTCCACAAGGAAACTCCCGGCTGATTCCATCACACTGGTATGACTTCAGGTGGGCCGCCCTCTGCAGAGGGCGGCGGATTTGTACCTGTTTGTAATACAGGCACGATCACAGCATCCTTGATGTCCATGTTGGCATTGCAGGAGAAGTTCTTCTCTAGTTTTTTGGCAGTGTCTGGACAATTTTGCACGAAGATCACACGGTTGTAGGCCTTTAGCCTGCGCCACAACTGAATGTAGACTTTACACTGTACATACATGAAGACGAGACCTCCAGTGAAGCCAATGGCCACTACAACCAGTTTTGTCCAAAATGGCCACTCAAGGACACCTTTGACATTTATAAAAAGAAGAAGAAAGAAAGAAAGATTATTACCAACAGGATTATTACCTACATGTTTACTAGTGGTTTTGATTTTTTTTTTCCCATCCCTTGGCTCTTCCCAAAGATACTCCTACCTGCTAATTTTTATGGATAAGAGAAGTAATAACAGCTAGTTAGGAATTGTAACCTAAATTGCTAAACTGTTTTCAGCTAAAGTTAGTGTGTGAAAAAATTCATTCATCTCTCACTACTGTGAATTTCTCCTTGCATCAAGTATACTTATTTAGGAATATCAGATACTGTGTTAAACTTTTGATACTTTGACATTTACTCTTGCTAAATCTTGAAGGGCAGTGTGAGTGAAGTGAGTGAAGGAATCACTTTAAAATCCTTTTAAGAGGATGAAGTCGTAAGCACATATCTGGGATTGTACGTACAGGTTTCTCACTCTACCCTCTTGAAGTTGAGGGACAGAGAAAAAAGCTGCCATAATTCAGCAGGATAAGAAAGAATTCCCAAATTCCTAAGCCTAGAGATGCATAAAATTTCGGATTTCAGTCATTTATACCAAATTTTATGTTTTGCCACTGAGAATGATTATTTTCTTAGACATGAATATTTTCATCACCAGAACTAGAAATTGGCTGTCCTTTTGAAATGCTTCATAAGTATTTCTGTAGCTACAACACTGTGTAGGCCCCATATAATTATCTTGCTAAATATATGATCTGGTTCAGATTCTCTGCTTATCAAATCAGGATGGGGTAATGGATATAATAAATACCTTCATTGCCATGGAAAGCTGTCGGTTATGAGTGTGTTCATTATGATAAACTCATAAGGGCTTGGTAGAAACCATGGATAGTGAGAGCCTATGGATTTACTGTGGTTTCATTGATTCTTACTTATTACATTATTAGTGACATTGGCTTTATGCTTCTCAGAGCGGGACAAGCAGCCCTGTTTCTCTCATGCTGAGGGCCGTATTTACCACCCATTTCAGTTTTCTCTATGTGAAAACAAAATATCTGACATTTACTAGAGGTAGTCCAACTCCAGGGTAATTTTGTTCTCCCAGGGAACATCTGACAATATCTGTTGACTGTTATAACTGGTGTTTATTTACCATCATTCCTGACTTCTCTTTCTCTGTTTGTCTTTTTTTTAAAAAACCAGACATTTATAAGGAAAAACCTGTGGATTACATCTTTCTCCTGGTGGCGAAATCAGACAACGAAGCTATTCTTCTCAAGTACCTAGAGATTTCCATTGCTCAGCCTGTTACTTCTTTATTTGATGTGGGGGTCCCAAACAGTGCTCAGGAGCACAGCGGTCATTTCTAGCAGGCTAGAGGGTTCATTAGTAGGACCTGCTGAAGCTGGGGATTATGAACCCATACCTGGCATTACACAAAGACCTGGGGTGGGAGGGGCGGGAAAGAACGTAGAGTACTTGGGATCAAACTTGAAACCTTACACATATGAGGTATACACTATTATTTTGTTTGGGGGCCATACATAGGGTCAATCCTGACTCTGCACTCAGGAGTTACTTCTGACAGTGCTCAAGAGAAAATAGGGGATGCCAAGAATTGAACCTGGGTTGGCTGCATGCCTTACTTTCGATACAATCTCTCCAGTCCCAACGAGCCATACATCCTTAACCCCTGAGCATCTCCCCAGCTCTCTCTGAGTCTAGTATCTCTGGATTTCATGTCCCTTTTTTCCTGTCCCTGAAAAAACAATTCCAAAGCCATTTCCACCTGGAAATAATCATTCCCACTCTCAGAGTTCCAAATTATTTCTTCCTTCATAACCTGAGTTCATTTGCTAAGATATTTTTATTTGCCTTTGATCCCAACAAGCAACATTTCTCTGTGATTGGTCTTTATTTTCCTCAGTGCCTTTTGTAAAAGTCAGTTTCAGGAGGAATCCATTTTGAATTTCTGGCTCTGACTCCCAGACCTTTCTCTTCCTCCTGTAACCAGAGGTTTTAATCTTTCTGGGAGTCAGTCTTGATCCAGTGCGGGGGGGGGGGGGGGGGGGTTGGGAGAGGCGCCAGGTAATCTAGTTCATTTAATTGGTGCTTTTCAAGCTGACCTGCAAAGGGCACCCAGTTAAAATGGATACTGCTATGGCTGGAGGTGGGGAATAGGTAAGAGATAAAGGAATTCCTCCCCCTCCCCAAGCACCAGTTGCCAAGCTTGTACACTGGCCAGAGAACCACAGACAGCCAGAGACAAAGTCGCTCTTGGGTACAGTGCAGAGCAATATGGAGAGACCAGATTGATTTGGGGCAGGAATTGCCCCCACATGGGGGCAGTCCGTTTTTTTTGTTTGTTTGTTTGTTTGTTTGTTTTTGCTTTTCGGGTCACACCTGGTGATGCCCCGGGTTACTCCTGGCTTTGCACTCAGGAATCACTCCTGGCAGTGCTCAGGGGCCCATATGGGATGCTGGAAATCGAACCCAGGTCGGCTGCGTGCAAGGCAAACGCCCTACCCACTGTGTTATCATTCCAGCCCCAAAAACTTCCTTCTTAAGCTGTCAAATCACTGTAACAAGTAAGTCACTGTAACATCACAAGCATCTGGAGTTTTCAGTGTAACTAACATACACTGCTAAAGGGCCCACCTCTTACTCAGGAATAAACCCATTTTCTCAGCACAGTCTGTCCCACTCGTCTTTCACCAGATCCCTCTGCATTGATTCAACAATGCCCTGTTGCAAATGTCCTTGGGAAGTGAAAGCTGCTGCTAAGCCCGACCTTGGCAGACAGAGCTGACCTACAAAAGAGCCATTGTCTGAAATGACCTTTCAGAGCCTGCCTCATCTGTATCTTCGCCTTTTAAGGGACAAGGGTTTTGTTACAAAAGAAATCACCATCAAGGAGTTGTTAAGAGTCTACCTCGGAAAATTCATTATAAGACATCTTGAGATGCTAAAAGGGTTTTTAAAGGGATGTTTTCCTGGGCAAAATGGGTTTGCTTGATATTGAGTTAAATTGGACTAGTGAGTTCTAGGGCTGGAGCGATAGCACAGCAGGTAGGGCATTTGCCTTGCACGAAGCCGACCCAGATTCAATTCCTCTGCCCCTCTCGGAGAGCCGGGCAAGCTACCGAGAGTATCTTGCCCGCATGGCAAAGCCTGGCAAGCTACCCGTGACGTATTCCATATGCCCAAAACAGTAACAACAAGTCTCACAATTTATTGTGAGACGGTACTGGTGCCCACTTGAGCAAATTGATGAACAAGGGGAAGACAGTGCTATAGTGCCGTGCAGTGAGTTCTAAGCTGGCTTATTTCTACAAAGAGGAGAGAATGTACAGATAAGGATGGTTGGTGGTAAAGAAGGGGAGGCACAAAATCCTGCTTTTGCGGGATCCTTTGTGTAACCCAGAGAGGTCCCTAAATTTATTTGGTCAAACCAAATCCTTTTCAGAAAGGAATTCACGCCCATCTCTCCACCAGGGTACATTTCCCAGCACCAATATCCCCTGTATCTCTCCTGCCACATCCTCCCCGCTCACTCCACTCCCATCATCCATTTTTAAATTACTAGTGTGACTCCAGGAATTCTCAATATATTTGAGACCTGGGCTTGTACTTAGAATTCTTCAGTATATTTCAAATAGACTTGTCTCTGCAGATACCTAAAGAGCAAAGCAACAAAGCAATCTCTGCCAGTCCAGAATTCGGGAGATGAAACTTGGTATTTTAACTATCTGTTCATTTCTTTGGAGCCTAAGGAAATCTCTACTCCCGTCGGGTTTGAAAATGTTCTCTGCCTCCTCAACACGGAGGGAAACTTGGAAATTGGGTGGAAATTGCCCATTACTGTGTAAGAAAGTGGGAATTTTTCACTTGTTTCTCATAAGAGATACAGTAAATCGATTCACTTTTTATATTGTCCTGTCAGTGTCTCAAGAATGAGCAACAAATTCTGAAGCACTCTCAGTATACCACTATTTGAGTAAATTCTTTCTTCCCTCATCTTGCACAGCGGAGCTTACAATACCTTCTATAACATCCTCAGACATCCTTTCTAGGAAAGGCTTAAAATAGAATGTAGATTTGTCCTGTGATAAGATGTTGACAACTACACAAATTTGGGTGAATCAAACGTTACATTACATCTGCCCAAAATAGTGCCACCAAGAGCCACAGAAAATCAGCTCAGACATTGTAGGGAAATTGATATTTAATGAGCAAGCAAAACACTTTAAACAAAGAAAAGCAGACAGACCTTCCACCATCCTAGACATGATTTTTCTAGCAAATCAGTGAGGGGAAACTGAGTTGACTAATTTAAAATAAATGTCGATGAAAAGGGTAAAAATGAAAAAGTGGGAAAAGATCTTCCTCACCCTTTCTCCATGGGGTTGGGTAAGGTGGCTGGAATTGAGGCTACATAAGACCACAAGCTTATTTACAAACAGGCCCCTACAGCCAATCGAGTTCACTAACTTTGTCAGCTTCACTTCCCCTAAAGCCACTACCTCCTTCTACTCCCAAGAAACCTTCCAATCCCAAATAATTCTGACTTTTTCTGATCTCTGTTATATAAACCCTAGTATGATTTTCCTTGTGGTTGGTTAAGTGGCCTCTTGGGCTCATTGTACAAAATCCCTAGTCCTTATTGATTGTTCCAGTATTTATTCCTAAGAGTCAGCTGCTTTCGTCCTACCTCTTCTTCATCTGTTCTAATTCAGGTAGCCATTTCCTTTCCTTGGACTTACAGGCTGTCCTCTTTTTCTCATGTCTTCTTTAATTTTTGTTTGTTTTGGGGTCACACCCATCTGGGCTCAGGGCTTACTCCTGGCTTTGTACTCGGATCACTCCTGGCAGTGCTTAGAGTACTGTATAGGGAGCTGGGGATCAAACCTGGGTTGGAAGCATGCAAGGCAAATGACCTATTTGCCACAGTACTATCTCTCGACCCCTTCATTTCTCTTTTTATTAAACCACAAAATTAATATATGTGTGTGTATGTGTGTGTGTGTGCATGC